TTGTTTTGTTGGAGGCTCTGCTGCCCTCAGGGAGGCCAGGCTTTGTCACGGACAGGTTTGCACTTGGGGACTGACAGGTTTTTGTCCCCAGGAGTGACACTCGCCCGCTGAAGCACAAGTGGAAGCCCAGTCCCTTCACGGTGATCCAGAGGAACGCCTCAGTGCCCAACCTGAGGAAGCAGGAGGAGAAGCTGCTGGCCCTGAAGAAGCCTGGCCTGCCGGCGCTGAGCCGCACCACGGAGCTGCAGGACGAGCTGAGCCACCTGCGGAGCCAGATCGCCAAGATCGTGGCTGCACAGTCAGGTGGGGCCGGGCTCTGGCCTCGCTCGGGGTGGCTGCTGCCAGCTCGCCAGCTCTGGGGGCAGCCCGGGGTTCAGTTTTCCATTCTGTTGTGCTGAGGAAAAGCCGCCTTGCTGTGCGTTCACCCATCCCCTCTGGTTTCCCTTGCAGCCTCGGCCCAGCTGACCCCAGAGCTGTTCTCTCCGGGCAGCTCGAATGCCTCGTCCCCCGTGCACTGCTTCGGGCCCTCCTTCCAGTCCACCACGTCCTTCGTGATCAGCGACATCACGGAGGAGGAGGCGGAGCTGGAGAGCCCCGAGCCGCCCTCGGTGGCCGAGCTGCCCCCGCTGTGCCCCGGCCCCGAGGCCCGGCCCGAGCCCCGCGACGCCGACGACGAGGACTCGGTGTCCCTGTCCAAGGCCAGCAGCTTCGCCGACATGATGGGCATCCTCAAGGACATCCACAGGATGAAGCAGAGCAAAGACTTGTGAGTCTGCATGGGGTTCTGTGTGCTCTGTCAGGGCCCTGCAGAGCCTGGGCCTGCTGCTCCTGCTGGGGTGGGGGACAGCACTTGGGAACTCAGTCCTGGGCTTTTTGCCTTTCTGGGATAGGAAATAGTGGAGAATTTTCATGGGGGTAATTTTATTTAGAATTTATTAAAAATTATAAATACTATCTGTTATTTTAAATATATTTTAAATACATATTTTACTATTATATATAAAAATGCATAATTTATATCTATATATATTGATATAAATATATAAATATATAACTTTATAAACTATATTTTTATATAAACATATATATAAATATATAGTTTATAAAGTTATATAATAATAAAATATAAATACATATTTATATATTGAAATATATATTAAAATATATTTAAAATGTAAATATCTATATTATATATAGATATATAAAATTACATATAGTTTATTTATATCTATAAAATAGTATTTACCTATATATGATATATAAAATTATATATAATTTATTTTTATATATACAATAGTATTTATTTATATATAATTTATATGTTGTATATAATATATATTTTAATATATAAATATATATCTGTTATTTTTAATAAATTATATATGTGATATATAATTTATTAAAAATTAATGTATTAAATAAATATCCAGAAGAATTTTCCTGGATAGGAAATCGTGGGGGGAAATTTAAATTGTTTAAATGTTTGGCTGTGCCAGCTGGTTCACCTGACAAAGAAGCTGTGCTTGCCCAGCTGCAGGGCAGCCCTGTGTGCTGGCAGCTTTCAGAGTGAGGGCAGTGCTGCTCTGAGCCCTGCTCCCCCTCCCAGGCAGCTGGGAAGCTCAGCACGGAGCACACAGGGATTTAACATGTGCAGCTCCTGTGGCGTGGGCAGGGTGAGTCTGCACTTGTGTCCTGAGCAGTTCTGAGCATGAGAACTCCTGAGGCTGCTCCACGGGCAAGATCCTGCCCAGCTGGGAAAGTTCTCCCTGGTTTTGGCCGTGCCACCTGCCTGCCACAGGCTCAGCTCTCAGGCTCCACACTTGCCCTTCTGCTGTGTGAGATTCCTGGCCAAAAATCCCACTCTCAAAAATCCCACTCTCAAAAATCCCACTCTCAAAAACACCACACTTGCTGGTTCCTCGTTTGGTTTGAAAGGAATCAGATTCTCAGCACTGAAAAAAAAAAATTCAAGTCAGATGAGAGGAACAAGCTCAGCTTCCACAGCCAGAGCATCAGGGGGTGTCACAGCTCCATCCCTCCCAAAGTTCCCCCTTTGCTCTGGTTTTCCTGCCACACAAAGGCTGCAGCTGAGCCATTTTTGCCCTCATCATCCTCTCCTGCACACAGCAGTGCTGGTTTGGGGTTATTACAGCTTAATTAAAGCTGCCTGAAGAGTTGCAGGTAGCTGAAAAATTAAGTTAATTACTGATGTTAATTATTTGATGAGCTTTAATTCCTCATTCTGGTGCAGTTGTGGAGCAGCCCCTGTGCTCCCCCAGCTGAACTGGGCAGCACTGGGAAGCCTCAAGAGGGTCAGGTGCTCTTCAAGGGAGGAAAAAGGGTGCTTAAAGATGCAAAAGGTGCTTGAAAAGATAATTACATGGATGTTCTGCTGCTGCTGTGTAGGAGTCAGTGCTTAAACTCAGCCTTGTGTTTAAACTCAGCCTTTGTGTTTAAATTCAGCCTTGGAAGCTTCAGGAACGAGTGAGGAGCTTGCAGAAATGTGCCTGATCCAGTGTCTGGTGGAAATATTCCAGGGTTTGGGTTTTTTTGTCTTTTAGGAGACAAAATGTCTTCCCATAATGTTTTCTGAGTGAGGAGGGGCTTCAGCTATGGAAAAAAAATAAAGCTCTGAGGTTATTATTGCAGGCTGTGAACAAAACCATGGTACATGAGGGAAAAGAACCGAGTTTGGCCTCCTGTGAAATAATCCTCTAAAAGGAGCTGCTTGTGTGAACTTGTTGAAGGAGGCAGATTGCCCTGGGAACAGAACTCGTGTAGTGGAAGGAATTCTGCAGCAGCCCTGCTGTGAAATGCCTGGGATTTCTGGGATCTCCCCTACTGAAACAGGGAAGCAGAAATCCAGAGTGCAGCAAAATACTGAAAAAACCAGAAACTTCCAGGGCTTCCCCCCAAACACCTCACTGAGGGTTGGTTTATATGGAGGGGATGGAGGCTCTGGATAATTAATGAAGTTTTGGGTCGATTGCTTGGTATTAGCACAGAGGAATAAGAATTACCCAGAGCTTTGAGGATGAGATTTCCAGGATCCCCCTGGAGCCACAAAAGGAGCTGAATTTCCCCTTTTTGCTGTTTTGTGGTGTTCTTCTTGCACCTCCTCCACTTGTGACAGCATCTCATGATAAAAGCTGCAGGAAAGGCCTGCAGAGAGTCCAGGCAGAGCTGCCAGGCAGGAGCTTGGCTCTGCCTGGGCTGGCTGCAGTGAGTTCTGTGCTGTTTCTCAGGATGCAGACAGGAATTTGTGGCTGGCTGCAGTGATTTCTGTGCTGTGTCCCTCAGGATCCAGGCAGGAATTTGGTTCTCCCTGTGCTGGCTGCAGTGATTTCTGTGCTCTGTGCCCTCAGGAATTTGACAGGAGTTTGTCTCTCTCTGTGCTGGCTGCAGTGATTTCTGTGCTGAGTCCCTCAGGATCCAGGGAGAGCTCTCAGACAGGAATTTCTCTCTGCTGGCTGCAGTGATTTCTGTGCTCTGTGCCCTCAGGAGCCAGGCAGAGCTCTCAGACAGGGATTTCTCTCTGCTGGCTGCAGTGATTTCTGTGCTCTGTGCCCTCAGGAATTTGACAGGAGTTTGTCTCTCTCTGTGCTGGCTGCAGTGATTTCTGTGCTGAGTCCCTCAGGATCCAGGGAGAGCTCTCAGACAGGAATTTGTGGCTGGCTGCAGTGATTTCTGTGCTCTGCCCTCAGGAGCCGCCCTTCCCTGAAGGAGGACCCGGCCGTGCTCATCGCAGAGGTGCTCAGGAGGAAGTTTGCCCTGAAGGATGAAGACCTGGCCCTGAAGGAGAAGTGAAGCTGCTGCACTCAGCTCTGTAAGCAGAGTTCCTGCTCCCACAAGCTCCTCCACAGCAGCTGCCTTCTCCCAAGGATTGAGCCTTTGCCTCTTGCATTGATCAGCCGCGGTTTGTGCGCCGGACACTTCGTTAGGAAGTTGGATTTGATGTGTTTTCCATGTGGTGTTCTATTTAAGAAAAACCTTTTTAAGAAGATGGAAGCTGTGTTCCAGCTGTGTTTTGGTGTTGGTGGCTGGTGAGGACCTGCTGCTGGATGAAGTCCTTTGTAGCTGCACTTTTTAGGTTCCAGCTGAGCTGTAAGGACAGAACCAGTTCATGCCCAGTGTGAACAGGACAGACCCCAGTCCTTTATCTGAGAGCTCCTGGGTGCTTCCAGCTCTCTGGGGCTGTTGGATCACGGTGGGAAAAGGGGTTTTATTTCCCCAAAAACCCCCTGGCTGGGGTCTGAGGGATTCTGTGTGCCCTGGGTGTTCTTTCTCTCACACAGCCCACACTTGCATGGCAGAATGGCCTTAATTTCCTGCCAGTAATTTAACATCCCATGACCCTGGGTTTTATTTCAGCTCCCAAAGGTCTGTTCATTGACCTGGCACCAGTGCCAAGGGCCCAGCACCCCAAGCAGGCCAGGGCAGGAGCTTGGCCTTGGCTGTGGCTGCAGTTCCCCCTCACTCAGAGCTCTCCCCCAGCTCCACGTTCCCTGCAGTGCCCCCATGGCTGTATTTAAAGTATGATTTTTTTTTCCTTTCTATAAAATGGAGCCTTAATAAGACACTGATGGTCTGTGGGGTTATTGATGCTCGGGGTGGGGCTGCTCTGGGCGTGCAGAAATTCAGGTGCCAGGGGCTCTCTTCATCCTCCTTGATGTCCTTGAAAAATTAAATCATCATCCCCACCTTAAAAATGAGAGACTTTGGTGGCAGAGAGGAGGAAGACGAAGGAATTTCCAGTTTTAGGGAGAGCTCCCCCCGTCCTGGGTGCACCCCTGGGTGATGTGATCACTGTCCCTGTCCCCACAGGGCTCCTCTGCACGAGGCTGGGGTGCATTTGGGGCCTGTCAGCAGCTCCTGCTCCCTGAGCAGCCTGGGCAGGACAGGGACACAGCCAGACCCTCAGAAACAAACTCCACAACATTTTATTTGGGTTCAAGCAGCATCTCAGAGAACAAAGAGGGGCTGGGGGCTGCACAAGGGGC